TAACTCACATTTTACAAATAAAGCCACTCCCCCCCTCTCTTTAATACTCTATCCCTATTAGTAGTTGCAAGTGATATCAGTAGTTTCTCATTTGCCTAGCAAGACACAAGAAGGGTCCTAAAAATATATTACCATTACTGGCATTAGTACACTTTGTGAACAGAAAATCCAAAACTGAAATGTTGAAAAAATGAAATAATTTAAAGTGGGAGGAATATTTGTGTTGATTAATGTTTAACCAAAAAAAGAATTCATATTTGTGGTCAAGAGTTGACCAAATAGAGCATTGGGAAAATGAAATGAGAATGTGAAAATGTTGTTTTTTTTTTTGTGTTTTTTTACATACAGTAAGGGTAAGCAAAATGTTAGGATGGGGATATGGCCTTCAAAGGATGAGAAAAGAAAACTCGTTTATGATTATTATGGGATAGCTTTGGTTACTAACCTCTATTTCTTTTTTGTTTTTCAATTTTACTAATGAAGATTTAAGCGATACTCCTCATCCTGGAGAGTTGCTAGATGGAAACAAGATCATATAAGATGGTCACATTAATTTAGGGCCTGTTAAGAAAAACTTAGGAAGTTTAAAGAATGTTAAGGCTCCTAAGCTAGATAAATATTTCCCCAAGGGTTTTGAAGGAGGTTAAGGATTGGATATGCGAGCCACTTGCTACTAATTGTTGTATGTTACGAAATTACAAAATAGCAGTTAAATGTAAAGAAACCCCAAGAACAGCACCAATCTATGCAATCATGAAGATGAGTGGCTGAAAATTTTAATTTTTTTTAAATGATTACATACAAATATATTGGAATATTTCTATTTTTCTATTAATTATGGTACACTGAATTGTTATATTCTAGGTATAATGTATGCATTATATATATATATATATATATAAATAGTCAAACTAATTTCAATTAATTGATTTACTCGTAGTTTTGATTATTTTAGTGACATTAATCAATGCTTATAGGTAATTGTTTATATCAAGTTAATTGCCCAGCTTTATTTATGGATACATAGAAAATTTACAGAATTTTCAGCTGATGAACTAAAATCCATTAGTAATAATAATAGTTTGATATAGCCATAACTGTTTCACCTAGTATTTTCCCTTATGGAAGTGTTAATGATGAAAACTGCATTTCTGTTCACTGTCTTAACTAATAGTAAAGTCGATGCTCCAGAAAAGATATGTAAGTACCAATTTTGTTTCAAATTAGAATAACACTTTTGCATACCAAATACACATAGTATCTAATTTATGTCCATATTCACCTGTTAGAAAGAAAAACCTGTATCAGTGAAAAACATAAAACATAAATCATTCTTGCTGTAGACTGATTGATGAGTTATACAGTGATTACTTGTAGTTTGGGGTTACTGTTGAAATAAAGGTTATACTGGTCTTAATTTTATTGATCAACATCAATAAATTGTTTACTGTATTGAATTTACACTGTAATTGTAATTTTAATATTGATGTTTTTTGTAACAATTATCAAACAATAAAATATTTCTTTGATTTAATTTGTAGTTCAGGATTATGACCTTTAACAATTAAACTTACACATATTAATAAAACTAATACAAAATTGACTTGTACATCTGGTTAAATATTTCATAACACGGTGATATATTAATAAGTTATATTACTGCTTACTAAATGATCTTTCGAATAACTAATTATAAATCAGGAAATAAATCTTCAAAACCTGTATATTGATAAAAGGTTGATAATTAAAACATGGATGCCTCATCTAAAAATTATTTGAGTTCACTACACTGCATGATAGTGTTCAGTGATACTGGTTCCAACTCTGCTTGTGATACCTCTTTTAATGTGTTCATAAATTACTAAAGTAGTCCTTTCATTGGTGGTTTCATTTAAATTATCTGATGAAAATATTTCAATGTCCAGTCTGGTAACAGTCACAAATTAGTTTACTTCCACCTTAAATGTTATTAACAAACTTGAGCATTTTTGTAACTTGTAGGCCTAAGTTTTTATTCCTGCTAACTTTAATACACAAAGTAAACAAAACTTAACTTTTTTGTACAACATAGCATGACAGCATATACTGATAATACTATAGTCTGAAATAACTTTTTTTTTCACCTTTAAACTCTACTACTACTACTACTACTACTGTTTTCTTATGGAATGACATATTTATCATCTATTTTTTAAAGTGCTAGAGCAAAATTTGATGTCAAATTAGAACTTTCTAGTAATATACACTCTCATAACAAATAAATTACAACATTAAAAATATATAGCTTTCTACAGTAATTAAAATTGTCCCTTGAAAATCATTAGTATTAAACCAAGAAAATGAGAGATTGGATAACTCCAAGTTTTTGCAATGCCTGTGTGAACAGTAGCGTAATGTAAAAGGAACATGGAAAATTTTACACGAAATTATTAATAAGAAAAATAAGTATGCCAAAGAGATTCATAGATAATAATGTAGAACTGAAGAAAGTTAATTAGAGAGCTAATGGATTTAACAAGTTTATTTTTACTGTTACTACTGAGAACATTGAGGTTATATAGAAAGACTTGAACAGTCTTGGCGATTAAGTCAGAATATGGAAAATGAGAAGTGTATAATGATGCTCTTGAAATGTGAAATGTTAAGAGATCTATTGGTGTTAACAAATATGAGGATTTGAATGTAATTGTTAATGAAAAACTTAACTACAGCTGTAGGTGAAAAGAGTCAAATTGAATTAAAGGCTTACGTTTCTTTGTAAGAAAATTTCATTTAGAAAATGTTTTGCTTAGATATGCAAGAAAAATAGGTAAATATTGTGTAGGGACACACTGTTAAAGCATTAGGTAAATATTGTGTAGGGACACACTGTTAAAGCATTAGGTAAATATTGTGTAGGGACACACTGTTAAAGCATTAGGTAAATATTGTGTAGGGACACACTGTTAAAGCATTAGGTAAATATTGTGTAGGGACACACTGTTAAAGCATTAGGTAAATATTGTGTAGGGACACACTGTTCAAGCAGTTTAGAAGTATGAATGACTTTAAAATTTAGGTAGAAATTTAAAAAATTTAGAAATTTAAAATTTAGGTAGAAAATTTTAAAATTTAATTTAAAAATTTACTAAAATTTAGTATATGCTTGAATGACTTGTTTTGTTTGTGTGAGAGTGTGTGGAACATAAAAGTGACTTCATTAAAAATGTTTGAATAACTTGCCTGTGAATGATCTGTTTGAGTGGTGAAATGAAAATATTAGAAAATACAACTTGTTAAGTTTTGAAAGCTCGGATCTAGGCTCGTTCTTTAGAAACCAAAACATTTTTTAGAGTTACAAACTTTTGGAGAGGTTTTCCTGATTATGTGATGTATTCTGTTTTTTAAAGTTAATTTAAAACTTGATACATCAGGCATAAAACATGTTTTTATAATGCATAATATTTTAAGTTTTAATCAACAAAAATGTTATTTGACAAATGAATTAGCCCTTGCACTGGTACTGAATCCATTTCTATCAAAAAACTAATTTGTCTGTTAAGTATGGAATAGTTTAAAAAATAAAATTTTTAATGCAAGAAATATTCTACTAATGCTATATATATATATAAAATGTCTGTTAAGTTGATGTAGAGAAGAGAGATGCTACATATAAATAGTACAAATATAGTATTACAATGTAATAGAATTAAGTTACTGTTATTCACGTGTCAAATGATTCTTTACATCAAGCAATTATTTATTTCGAAGATATTCACAATTGGTAACTTTTAAGTATTTTGAATGATGAAGCACATTGCTGCTATGTTTAACCTTATAGTAGTATATATCAATGAAGCCTAGCTCAAAAATTTAATATTTCAGTAATAAATAATTTAATTTCACACTTGGAGTAAGTAGTGACAGTGTTCATTACTAGCTAATAGAGGTAGAAAATTATATCGTAGAACACCCTGACTAATGTCTCTTCAAATGTCATGACTTAGATCCTTCTTCAAACCTGTTATAATGGCAGCAAATGATGGAGAATATGGGATGCCAGATCAGAAAGCCCCATTCTCTGAGTTTGAGAATGCCTTTTCAGAAAAAGTAATCAGAATGGGTAAGTACATTGAAACATAAAAAGTAAATATAGAATAGTCCTAATAAATGCTAGAGGTATATTACATATTTTTTCTTGTCATCATACTTTACCCCTGAAAAAAATACAATTTGTAATCTGTTGAGCAATGTAATATATCTTATCAGTATGTGATTCTGTTTATATTGTGATAATTTTATCCAAGTTGGTTTTAAGAATATACATCTCTTTCTAGTAGATGTGCTTTTATTTCTTTGCTTGTTATTTATCACATTAAGTATGGTTCTTGCAAGAAATACATGTGTATAACTTGTTTTGAATAAGTTATTAAAAGCTGAACTCATTTGTACAATTAATGATGATTATTATTTTTTTATCATATACTTCTAATTCATTTCAGTTAAACCAAGGTTATAGTGTGCATGATATATATTTTTTCCACATTTATAAATTTCTTTTTTTCTCTCTCTACAGCATAACTTTTTATGGCCAAAAATACTGGAAGCCTTTCCTTGTTGAATTACTGTCATGCTATTGTGAACCTTATGACTAAAAGTTGTGAATGGCTTTGACAAAATACAGAGCATTAGGGTGGTCCTTATTTTTGAAGTTTTGATTTACAACATTTTCACTCCCTCATTTTATTGCAATATATAAATAAGTAATTTACACCAAATTTTAACCATATTGAATGACATTTAGGGATTGCACAAGGTATTGAAATTTTACTTTGTAGCTCACATATCTGCATATTCTTAGTATTTTAGAATGTTCCAGAATATTCTGAATACTTCTGAAAGGTTCTAGATTATTCTGGGATATTCCTAAGTATTCAACATTATTCATAATGTTCAAAAACATTCCATATATAAATAATCTATTTTGTCACTTTTTACTTCTGGGATATTCTGTATCATGTCTTAGAACTTTTCATGGCATATGTTTTCAAAAGCTGTGTGGGGCTTTTTTGTGGTCCAGATTTTATAATATGTAATTGATTCCAGCAATTTTGGGAATACATGGACCTATCCAGTTATGTATCTGCAGCTGACCTTGATGAAGTAGCAGAAGCCATAGAGGAAGGCAATTACAGGGTAACTTAAGCTCAGCCAACCTAGAGATGGTTATGGAGAGCTTCTTGAACTAGCCATAACCTTTTTTGGTGGAAAATGATTTATAGCACCTAGAGCAATATTTGTGGGACAGTTTAAGCTCACTGGCTGTGAGGAAACAAGACTCTGTGACATTCGCATCGTTGTTGTTTAAATCTATCTTAAGGCATGGTTCACTATTCCTGATGCCGTTTCTACTCTTCACAATAATATTAACATTCTACAATGTCTTGTTAAGTATAAGAAAGTGAATTCTACTCTTTCAAAATATGTCTGTCAACAATTTGCTTGACATCTATAGCATCTCAATGATCTCCTTGGTTTGGCATTCTTTGTTTCAGCTGGAACCACAGAGACCAAAAACAACAATGGTAAAGGCATTAAGTCAAAAGAAAGGCATGGATGAATCTCCAACTGAATATCAGGAAGTCTGAAGATATGTCAGTTGAAGATTTCATCACAAAAACCACAACACAGTTCTTCAAGTGCCTCAAACTTCCTCTGGATTATGACCCTGAGTCATGAGAGCTCAAAGAGGACTACAGGAAGACACTACTGACAATTCAACATTTGAATGTGGTAAATGACAATACTGAAAGGGATGTGGCCATTATTGAGGAGTATGGTACCATCATAACAAAGAAAGAAGAACAGATACAACTCCTGCTTCAAGTTGGGCAAGATCACAGAAGATGCTTTCCTATCAGTGAGAAAAAAAGACCACTGCAATCTAGAATTTCAACCTCATTGAGCAACCTCTAAATATGGTCCAAAATGGATGGAGATTGACATTTAATGTTTTTTTGTACAATGGAAAAAAATTATTATTTTTACCTTGAAATTTTACCTGCAAATAAGGACCACCCTATAGAGCAGGCACCAACTTACCCTTAATTTTCACCCTCCAGTCTTCCACTTGACTTACTGTGCATGCATCAGGAGATCTGGCATAAGCTCTGTTTCCTTCCATAATTCAGATTTTCTTGTTGAAAGTTGTGCTGTTAAAATCATCTGCTATTCATGTCAATTCTGATTCTAATACTTTCACTTAATGCTTCTTCTAATGCTTGTATCAGTAATAGAAATCCTTCCAAAACATACATACCTTTGCTGACACTTATAGCTATTTCTCTATCTCCATCTTTGCCATCTAACATTGTGTTCGCTTGTTCCAGTCTTGATATATATACCCCACTCAACTTCCCTTGGCAATATCAAGTTTGCAAAACTTTACACCAGCCCTCACACGCCCTCTATGCAGATACTGTATATAAGCATTGTATGCAGACAATATAATCACTTTTTCTCAACAAAGTGCATGTGTTGAGAGTCACGTTTTGTACTTTACATTTTTATTAGTTCAGTTTCATAATAGTCGGGTTTTCTTTTGGTTTGTTCCCCGTTGCTAATATTTCTTTGGTTTTCTTCTGCAGTTCCAAAAAAAAAGGTAATATGAATTCCCTTGTAATGGTTTCTGGCATGAAGGCTAACCAGTGACCTGATTCAGGGCAAGATGGAGTCCTTCATGCAGCCCGGGGGTGTCTCCCTGGGAGGTTCTGATTTGGCTCATCTGATCAGCCACCTTCTGCCCCTTTTCTGCACTTAGTTACGTGAGTTTGTGAAGTTTGGGGGATTAACCCCATTGCTTTTGAGATTACCCCTGCCTTGTTGTCTGATCGATCTCAGGGGATTACTTAGTTCTTCCTCCTTCCCCTGATATTGCAGTGTATGCAGGGAGGCTTACAACACAATTGTGAGAGGGTGTCGCTATGCCTCCCCCCCCCTCATTTATCTGAACAACATGACCTGGCTTATCATTGTCAGGATGATGTATATTTGGAAACTCAGTGGTTGGATCCGTTGTTGGATCTATGAGGTTCCAGGTTAGAACCTGTTAATACTCTTAACAAGTCTCAATTTTTGGGGATTTGTTTGACTCTTACTACTGTTTCAAGATACTTCTCTTCCCTCCATTTTTTGTCTGAAGCATATCACTGCTCTCCTCATCAATTTGACGATGAATTGGGGCTTTTACTGGTTACTACTATGACGTGTTTGTCCTCTTCAGGCCTTGCCTTGGTGTCGTGGTTGGTCTGTTGCTAGGACGTATTGAGTCATGATGCCCTCCCCTGCTCTTTGTGATTTATGGGAGGTGCCTTTTCTTTGGCCTTACTTGTTTGCTGGAATTCCGGAATCTTTAGAAGCCCGAATTGATACGGCACATTTGCGGTCTTCTTTATGGTCATTGGCTGCTCGCCTCTCTTCTACTCCAACGGGTACTCTTGGAGGATCGACCATTTGCATCTCACGGCCCCCTCCCTCAAAGCCTCACCCTATTGGTTCTCAAAGTAATTGCTGTCCATATTCTCGGGTATCTTTGGACAAATTGTTTTGGCACCAGCGGCATCTGTGACTACCTATTTTAACTAAATCCTGCGGGAGAACAGTTACATCTCTTTCACCACATTTGGCATTCATCAAGAGTACTGGATTTGTGATTTGAGATTCAGTTTACTTCTCCCCTTCCTCTGTCCTATTATCCAATCATTTTTTCTTCTCCTTCAGACATCAAACATGTAGACCTTTGGTTCCCAGGCCATTCAGGAGCTGTTCATCAAACAAGCCATCGAGAAGGTCGATCCCATTCATCCAGGATTCTATTCTCAACTGTTTCTGGTGCTCAAGAAAACTTGAGCCTCCTTGTTTCTCCATGGAATCTTTTCTTCAACTTTGATGGCACTTCATACCAGGTCTTTGGATGACCAAGTTCAGTGTTGCAGACACCTATCTTCACATCCCCATAACAGAGTCTTTTTCTTCAATTTCTACGTTTTGTGCACGAGGAAGAGGTGTTGCAGTTCCGAGCTCTTCCGTTTGCATTACTTAACCAGATGGCTTCGGAAGTTGATTCATGTAGCCTATTCAGGCTTATCTATTAACAATTGGAATATGCTCCACGTCACCTCTCATCATATTTAGCATCTATCAATGTTATTGGCTGAACTGTTGTCTGGAGGACATTTTGTGGGCTAGTATGTGGACTTCTCCTGACACTTTCATATCTCATTACCTTCATGATCCTCTTTGGTGGGATTTCATCTTCCACCTGTGGCTGTGTTGACTACCTCTGCTAGATTTTAACAATGAGGTGAGTAATGTGAGTAAAGCTAAAGGGGATTTTGCCAGTCCCTGCTGATCTTAGAGATGAATCAGTCAAGATCGGATTGCTTTTAAAAACTTAGGGAATGTAGTTCACCTGTTGCAATGTCTCTGGAGACCTGTTCCTCGGGACTCCCCATTGCACATGTCCCCCCCTCACTTCTACTAGTGGAGCTAGGGAGTCTTTACCACACCCAGTTCCCAGTCGCTGGAGTGGTGGACAAAGGATTTTCCTTTAGAGTGTTGAGTTTTCTCCACTCTCTGAGAAGAGGACAAAGTTGGGGACCCTCCTACCTGGGTCCCTGAAAGTTTTTCTCAGATGTCAGTAGGAGCAGGACCAATCTACATGGGAGCCTACTTGTAAAACCGGTCTAGATGTGACACTTGCTTGGACACTCTTATGAACACTGTCAGATCTTAGGTTGTTTATGCAGGGGTCCACTATCTCCTCATAAATCCGAATGCAACACGATCCCATAATTCCATGAGTAAATGGAATTCTGCTTGTCCACTTGGTTGGGGAGTGAAGATGACTGTTCGTAAGTCCACTCCGAATGAGTTCTAGACCTTGGGTGGAGTATGGCATATGATCCCATCAATCCAGGCCTGTGATGTTGCCCTTTGGACTTCTTTAGGTTGATCAAAAGGATTGTCCACTTTGGTGTTGCTTTCTTTTTTTCATTAATCCAATTGTTTGAAACACATCATTCCGTGGCTATTGGTGAAGATCCTATCACAAAGATATGTATATATTTGCAGTCCAACTACTCTGGCCACCAACGTGGGATATAGGTACCATGACCCCTTAAATCCAGCCCCGAGTCGTGGAACCTCGGCTGTGTGGTTGGAACTAGCCCATCATACTTGTGTAATATTCCACCCTTTTCACTTTTCTGTAGTTCTGGGTGAAGAGCATACCTGTTCTTGATGTAGTGCGGTGTTCTCCACTTTGGTACCACTTCTCATGGTACACCTTTGTTCTATGCAGACGCTTTCTGTATAATCTATGCCTTCACCGGCCCCTCTGTCTTCTCAATGTGGGATTCTTGCTATAAGTGTCATTTTACTAATCTGAAAATGTATTTCCAAACATACTTACCTCGGCTGACACTTTAGTCATTATGTTCATAAATACACTGTAAAAGTGTATTAGCTTTGGTACTAATAACAAAACACTGCTTCTATGGCTTGAATAATTTATCCAACTAAAACAAGATCCTTTTTTTTTCTGTCACACTATTGAATAGACTCCCATCCACATTAAACATGTGATCCAAATTATAACTTAAGTGCAAAACATTGGAATAATTCAAGGTCATTTATCAGATATTTTTTCAGTTACATCTAACACTAACCGATTGGTCCAATCCATTTTGTAGTACTTCAACACTCTCAACACAGCTAGGAATATCCACCCAGAATTTACAATTTATTAATTATGCCTCTATCAGCATCATTAATTTAAAAAAAGAAAAAGCAAAGGCCCAAGCACTGACTCCTTAGGCACTACACCAAAAACAAGGGTCCAGTTTAATTGGACTCTATTAATGACAACCTTTTGCTTTCTCCCAACTATCCTACAGTCCAACTTACTAATATTCCACATCCCTCACCAATGTGATTTTCTAAGCTCATTTTTTGTGTGGCATGCCGTTATCAAAAGTGTACATCATCCAGCTAACACATACGGAGTACTAATTTTTTCATCATTTGTTCACACAGGCTTCATTCGTAAGGTGTATGGGATTTTGATGGTGCAACTTGCAATCACAGCGGGATTTATCTGTTTGTTCCTCTATGTGTAAGTAAATGTTCAGTTACCTGCTACTGTTTTAACTTATTGAACAGGTCACTTGTCAGTGTATATACAAGTTTGATCATTTATCAAACTCATAACAATGTTTGCCAGTTAAGGTTACTGAAGATTTTGAATATTAGTTTTTTATACATTGTGTATAGAATAACAATACATCAAATGAAATGTTTTGAAAATTGCTTTAAGGCTAAAAACTCTGTACAAATAACTATAGCATTTCATTTTGACCTAAGGCTTTCTTACAGCTTAACAACCAAACCCATTTATGTGATTGTTAGCTTATTACCATGGGCATATATGTCTTCCTCTAGAGCACTGCCATTTGAATTTGGAATTTTGTACTAACGTGAAGAAAATTTAATATTCACACTTGTGTCCTATTGTGTATATTTAAAACTAAACCTGGCACCACGAGAGTTGCGTGACAGTGAAAGGATAAGGGAAATGAATGATATTTTAAGATTAGTCTGACTTATTTAAAAGAGGATCATTAATAATTAAATCTAACATCCATCAAAGCAACAAGTTTTTTGTAGCCTTTCACAAAAATTGGTTAATTCTGTATATATATATATATATAATCTGTATATATTTTATATAATTCTGTATATCTGCTTTTTTGTTGTGTTTGATTGACGATTATATATGTAACTAGTTAATCATCAGTTAATTATTTGTATTCAATGTTGCAGTCATTACAGTAACAAATCAATAATAATGTTTTTGCTACGCATAGATTATTATATTTTCCAATCATATAAAAAAAAATTCTGAAGCCCAACAGTGCCTATATTATTCAGTTTGTTTTTCAAAAGGAACCAAAAACCCTTTCATAAATTTCTGACAAAAAGCTGTAAAATTATCATGATATTTTACATACTGCTGTTAACTTTCAGAAGTTTCATATAATTTGAAATGCAAACTGTAACTTTATTATATGAATAATACATTTCTTTATTGACTTACCATAAAATGATAGAAACTTCCTGAATACACAAGGTAGCTTGTTATATGGAATGCAAAATTACAACTATGAAGATTAATGTTCAGTGATCTTGGTGTTGGTTGTCAGTTTTGTGGTTGACAGATACTTTTTACTATAATTCTGGTTATAATTATTTCTTTTCATTTCCAATTATTGACACATTTTGAACTCCCCCCAAACTTGGAAATTACCTTGACTAAAACAGAAATTTTTAGGTTACAAACATATGGTCAAATAGTATTTTTTGTTGTTTTGTTATATGTTTCTGTTTATTTTAGAAGATTTGTGATGTTCAGTTCTAATAGAATTTGTGTGTGTTTTCCAGGCCCGAAGTACAGAAATTCACTGCTTCTCACATAGAACTGTTCTGGATTGCATTGTAAGTTATCCTATTACTATGAAAATGTTTGCCAATTATTTTCGTGAGAAACTTTGTATTGAAAAGAATTAAATAAATGTTTAACAATAAATTTGAATTACTCTCTTACTATGGATAGGTCAAAGTGTGCATGTAACAGTGTTTTACAGAGTTACATTCAAAACATAATTAAACAACTTTATTATTAATGTATACCAAAAACTTTATATCAAAGTGTAGTTGATAAACCAAATTTCAAATTTTATAAGTTTTAAATTCTTCATTTTATAAGAAAATATTAAGCAAAGTCCTAAATCTCCCCTAGTATGAGAATTGTGACATTTGTTCTCTAGGTCCCTTTTTTCTAACTTATTTATCACTCCTCTCTGAAGTACAGAATTTAATGTAAATTACTCATTATAACATAGATATTAATAAAGCAAAGTCTAACTTTTATAGCCTTTAATCTTGTTTGTTTATGGAGTCAAAACTAGAAAATCAGACCCACTTGTCAAATCCTCTCTCTCACAAATTGCCAATAATTCTCTCTGACGGTTTATACTGTATCATTTATAACCAAGAGAAAGGCAAAGTTTTATTCTATCAAATGACAAATACTGCTAGGTTGTCAGTTTCATCTTCAGTTTGAAATTTTATCTTGTGGTGTTCAAATTAGTCAGCAAAGGGAATTAATTTAAACCCTTCTTGTCTTAGTTAGAAAGCCAGTTAAATTATAATAGTTATAGAACTTTGTTTTCCTTACATGTGTTATTATTCAGTGTTCTTAGGTGCATTATTTCCTGTTTATTCATGTATATTTTTTATTTATTATTAGAGAAGTAACTAAAATGTAAAAATTAGAAATTTTTGGGTTAGATAAGGTAAGAAAATGAAAAATAATTATGAAAATTCTTCACAAGATATTCTTCCAAACAGCTTGTGCAGTGATCATTCAATATAGTAATGTGAGCGAGCTACACGTTTGCTGAGTGATTTACAACTTTTGGGGCGGGATTATTAGTTACATATGATTCAAAGGGAAATAAAACAAAAAATAAAATTGACTGCCCTTGTATAGAGTTAGGGTGGAGAAAATAACAGATGAAATATAAAATTTTAGTGAAAAACATTTGGTATGTCTTAAAAGTTATACAAATGAAATTTGAAAACTGTTAGATGGAAAAAGTATTTTTTATTCTTAACATAAAAATCATTTTGCATTTTGAGTAGTCAACACTCTGACTTCATGTATTTGCAAATGAATCGTTAGTAAAAACAATTCATTAAAAATTTATTTTTTGTGTACAAAAGACTTGTAATGTTTACTGAAAGCTTGACAAATTTCAGGAAGATATAGTATGGAAACTCTGGTTACTTTGTGGTTACAAAGTCGGTCATATCACCCGACCCTGTATGGAACGAGTTAACTCTCTGTATACGGGTTTGGTCATTTTGACTACCATGAAGTTATATATGTGCTATAACTTTGAATATAGTATATGTATTTTCACAAAATTTAGTAAGCTTTTAGTAAACAATACAAGTCTGTTGTACACACAAAATCTGATTTTTTTATTAAAGCATATTTACTAATATTCGTCTGTGAATTTATAATCCTTTTCTGGGTCAGTCTGAGTGAATGGTGATTTTCGTGCTAAGAATAAAAATACTTCTCTTCATCTTACAGTTTTCATATTTATATTCATAACCTCTAGGACCTTCTTAATGAATATCAAAAGTTTATTTTTTTTTATAAAACTTTATAACTTTATTTTATTTATTATTTTTTCTACTCTCACACTAAGTGTAGTGAAATCAGCAATGTATGGTAAAATTAAAAAATATGAAATAAACTTAAATTACCCTTTTTTCTTTGTAGAATGACTACATATTGTAACAGACAATTCTTACAGTCAAAGCTAATACTTTTCAAAATTGCTGCTCATTTCTTTTATTGCTTTACATCTGTACTTTAGATCCTCTCAGAATATGATGAAAGCTATTATCACAGTCGAAAAGCTTTGTGTAAACAAATGATCAGGTTTCCAGCATGCTCAGCCTGGCATGACCAGGTTGTTAGCGAGCTCAACTCACAATCTGCATGTTGCGGGTTTGAATCCCCATCCCAACAAACATGCTCGCCCTTTCAGCTGTGAGGGCATTATAATGTGACGGTCAATCCCACTATTCATTGGTAAAAGAGTAGTCCAAAAGTTGGCGGTGGGTGGTGATGACTAGCTGCCTTCCATCTAGTCTTTCACTGATAAATTAGGGACGGCTAGCGCAGATAAAAAATACGTATACAAGAAATTTAGTACTTACATCTGTGCTCTTGTTTTTGAAAGACTGATTGTGGGTTTAACTTTCTTGCATACATTTCAATAAATCAAGAAGATTGGAGGCTACAACTTCACATTATGGTTTAGAAATATCTGTACTATAAGTGTGTAATTTGTGTAGAAAGAAAATCTAAAGAGGGCAACTTGGAACAAAGAAATGTCATGATACAGAGAAGTGAAGGTGGAGAATGTATGTGCATCTATTGTTTTGAAATTATGAAATTAAAACTTGTTTCGTATTAAAATTTAAATTATAAATTACATTTTGATGCCAAGTGTATTAGCATATATTGATAATAACGTTATTTAATCTAATTTTGAATGTAACTCTATAAAAGGTTGTGACATGCATACTTTGACCCTTAAAAAGTCTAACACAAACATTACAATAATTTTAATGTTAATGATGAAATTACTATAATACATTACCCATTGTATATAGAAAGAACAATTTGATTTTAGCAACTTTTTTCGTTTTATAGTGTTTTGATGCTTATAGTCATGATTGTCCTGGTCTGTTGCGATAAAGTCCGAAGAAACTACCCAAGCAACATTGTTTTACTTGTAATCTTTGTAAGTAACAATGTATTTCTGTTATGAAGTTCTGTGTTTTGCATTTTTTTTCAGTGTGGTAATCAAGATTTTTTAATGTGTTATGAGTGGTTTAAAAAATTATTTAACTGAATCAAAAAAAAAGTAATAGTTTTAAACTTTTTGAGATTCTGATAATCTTAGTTATTGATTTTTTTGTTTGGATGTGGCAACACACAGTGATGAACACTGAGAAAATGTTTAAAAAATTAAGCCATCTTCTGAGATTTGTTTGTTTCTTCTCTTCCATCACTAAAACTTGTTAATAGCATGTTGTGCCTCTCTTTTTGATAGTGTACATTGCATCACTAAAACTTATTAACAACAACGTAAAAAAAACAATTATTTTTTTATTCTTTCTTTTTTAAGCAAATACTTAGTCAGATAAATCATTCTGCTTTCACTATGAGCACTACTACTGTTTGAAAAGGTTTTTGAGAGAAGTGTATATTTCATGGAATGTAATAAAAGTACAAATTAACATTTCTAGTAAAGATAAAACATAATGGTCAAGTGAAACTTCATTAATCTCCACTGCAACACATTGTGGCCATATTTGAGTCATTGATCTGAGATTAACATGTATAACAGATCTGTTAGTATGATTGTTGGTAAATACTCGATAAGTTCAGTGATGTATTTATCTATATTTTCAGACTGTTCTAGAGTCCTTCATGTTGGGATGTGCTGCAGGGTAAGATACAAGTTTTAGTTGTAGTACTACATTTTTTGATACCAAAACATTTTAGATATCAGAGGCATTGCTAGCTACTTAAAAGATTTGGGTCCTGGGCTCAGAACTTGTAGGAAGTTTGGGCGTTTCAGAACGATATCAATCATGGTTTTCTATTCGGATTTTTTAAGAGCACCAAATGGATTCGGGGCACTGCCACATAGAATTGGAGCATGGACCCCACATGCCAGTACCTAGCGACACCTCTGTTAGATATTAATGATTTTTATACTTTTAACCAAAGCAATGAAAGTACTTTTTCCTTTATTTTAACAAATATGTTTTGAATGGCTATAGTCAGTTGTTTGTATAAAATTCTAACTTATGTTTCCACATAGTCTACTGAAACTTTGTTGGTACATTATAAATATATGTATGCGTGTAAAAAAAATTTCATTTCTTTTACCAAATTTTTTTATGTAACTGGTTTATTAGCATCACAGGCTACTCTTCAGTATAAAAACTATAAAAAGCAGAAAACAACTAAAAACTTTTTGAAGAGTAATAAATTAAAGCTTAAAATTTATATAAAATATACAAAATTGTTTTTCAATTTAACTTTTAATTTAATATTTTCTTAAATCTTTTAAGATTTTTAATAAAATCTGAAGTGAAAATAGATTATCTTATTACTAATGTTGCAAATCAAAACCTAATTAAAACGTCTAACATTAACATATTTTTTAATGTTAATGATGAAGTTATTATAATACATTACCCAAATTCCACAAACTGTGGATATTATTTTTGAGAAATATTTTACTTACTTTGTCCTGAATAACCTTAAAGTTTCTTTTGAGTTACGCACGATATACTTATGGTACATTTAAAATACAAGCCAAAACCTCTGGAGCACTATTTATTAACAGCTTTCAATTAATATTGAAAGAAACATTAAAATGGTAACTAAAGTATTTTTCAAATATCAGTTGTTGTTTATTTTCCTTTTTCATCACAACTCCAAAAGGGAAAGTTTTGGAAAAAAAGGTTCATTCAGTCTGTTAAAAAAATTAGAATTATAGAAATGGAAATAAAAGTGTTTAATTACTGGGAGGGGGACAGTTCTCCAGATTTCCACATTCTACCTATGTAAGTTAACTCTTAGTCTAAACTTATTAGTTTCTCCAGTATACAATTCTCCACAACTAGAACATTTTAAAATGTAAGTCAAATTTTTAGCAATACAATCAAAAAAATCCTTCACCTTTAATAATTCCAGCTCTTTTGGTCCAACAATTAAATTTCTTAGTTCAAGGCATCTATTTATACACATTAAACAGTTTTTTCTATTATGTGGTAACTTTTCACATCCAAAATAAAATGGTTCAAAACAGTATCTGATAAATTACTTAATGGTTCAGTAATCTTATTTTTGCCTCCTATGATAGGGCAACTTGATATCTAAAAGGTTTGGCAACCTAAAGTATTTCCAATCTTTCTCTCTTTAAGCATTCTTTCTGTATTTTACTTTTATGCAATTCTGGCGACAAAAGATTTTCCCGATTTATTCTAACATAAAATAATTTATGTCTTTTAGTCAGAAAGTAAACTTCCAAAACGTGATACATATTCTATAAATTTTTCATTACAATTATTAAGATGTTCTAATGCCATATTCTTATAATAACTGATTTCCATTATACCAAACAGTATCCTTATCTTTTTTGAATAATTCTTTCATCTATTCTCAAAGATTTATTTAAAGATAATTTTTTTTTGTATCCTCATTTTTTTTAAGTGTATATGTGTATAATATTGAAAATCTGTCTTCCTGATGCTTCAAAAAAGCAGGGCTCATAGATATGTCACTGTGACTGTATTTTGTTTTAATAGTGAGTGGAGTGATACAAATATGGTTTATTTTTGAATGAAATGTATATTGGAAAAGGTTTTCAATGTTAATAGAATTGAGAATAGTTGTTTCTGCTTTCAAAGTAGTGTGTGTGTGTGTGTGAAGTTTCAAAGTTCAACTGCTTTGATTTCGTTCTGTACATTTCAAAAGATAAAGTATTCCAGAGTGTATAGTTAGTGAAAATTGGTAGTTAATTGAAAAATTGTCTACTTTTTCTACTTGTGAAATATTCTCTTTTATTTTTTATTTTTTTTTCATTCTTGTTAGGTCAGCAACTTTTCAGTAATACCAAAATAATTTATAATCATCATTAATATACAGTCTGACTATTTGTCTGTGAGAAATGACTATTAACACCTCTTGATAGGACTTGTATTCTTTGACAAAATTTTTTCTTTTGATAGCTTTTTTTTCTGATCAATGTATCTTAGCCATAAATATGAACTAATTCATCTTGTATTTTTGAACCAGTTGTTCTTTATGGTGGCAGGTGTGTAGCTTATTCTCACATTGGTTTACTGTATTAGATCCTTAGATCCTGCATTTACTTTCTTATTTCATTTCAGATTGACTGTGATTGACTGAAATTTGTGGGACTGCTTGTTTTTTTGTTTTTTTTGGTATTTGAGATGAATTTTAATTAATTTTGTCTATAAAAACTTTCATTATACTATTGTGTCCTGTATACCAGTGTTTCCCAACATTTTCCACTCCTTATGATCACAGCAGTTGGAAACCACCACACTATTCTGTGTTCATTGTTTCCCTCGATTTTAAAGAGTCTCATTTGTAAAAAGGTATTTGCTAAACGTATCAGAATTTACATGCATCCAGTTTTTTCTTGTCTGTCTATTTTTGTTTTTCCTTGGCAGGTATTCAGATTTTCCCCTGGTTGGTCAGAGACAATGATTCTTTGGTTATTTAATTTCTTGTTCCTGGTTTTAATCATTTCATTATTCATTCCATCTGGCACAACACAGCCTCCACCCACTCAAGCCTAAAATTTAAATAAGCTTGACAGTTGTACACCCACCTCCACAAGCAGGAGAACCCAACACGGTGAGTCAGAAGAGGCCAAGTCTATACCATAGTATTCTTTGATAGATTGAAGACAAAAGGCGGAAGACTTTCTAAATGTCGTCCTTCATACTTGTATTCCTACAACAGGAAGTTGCTGTCCATTCAACCAAATTTCGTCATATTCTATAGTATGTTTATTACAAAACAATAACAAAATAGTTCACATAATCATACATAAAGTAAAACACATTAAACAGACAACAATAAACAACTTTACTGTGTTAGAATGTTACAATCTTATGGAACAACAGTGTGATTTTACACATTTGATTTCAGTAATATGCATTTAGTAATGAAAGATAAAACCGAGTGTCCAGAACAAGTCCTTATCCCTTGGCTGGTAACCTGAAAAAGAAATTCTGAAAAGGCAAAATTCTGTTGGTTTTTGTTTGTCATTATGGCTTTAATGGTGTTGAAAGGTGATGTGTATTTTTCACAGGAGGCAGGTGTAGTGGCAAGGGATAGAGAATTTCAGCTGGAATATTTATTGTAGAATAAAACTGCAAGATTTGTAAGTTCTTTAATTGGTTGTGTTTACTAATTTTGTGGAGATGCATTCTGGGGTCCAAACAGCATACCAACTCCTACCTTGAACTTTGCTTTAAGTTGTGATTGTATTAATTTATATATATTTTCAGACATGTTGCATGTAATCATGTTTCTGTATTCTATAATGGGTCTGATGCAACTTTATAAATTAACATTATGGTTTGGGCATTACGTCCTTTGGCATAGCCTTCACTTTAGTGGAGATAATTTATTCTATGGCATATTTTCTGTAATGTTTCTCTAAATTTAGTGTTCCAATTTAATATTTTGTTGAATTATACTCCTCGGAATTTTATGGTTTTTGAAAGATGGATATGTGTCATATAGTTTGAGTTTGACTTCACTTACTTTCTTAACTTTCCTTTTTAGAGACTTATAAAATACTGCTGCCTGTGTCTTTTGCAGATTTAAAATTATACTCCAAGTATTACACCATTCCATAACGTAGTCTAGGGATCTTGTATCTTTGACACTGCTAGACGATAGTCATGTGATGTGTTCCGTATAGTGACATTGTCTGCATATTAAGATACGTGTGTGTGAATAAGTTTTGGGGAAGTTAATATTGTTAACAAAGATTATATATCATAACGTGTCATGCTTGCTTCTTTAAACATATGTTGAGACATTGATGTTTGGACATCAGTCTTGACTCAAGATGTTGCTAATTTTTTCTATATGATCAAGTTTTACAGCTGTTTGTTTTTCACAGTGGACTTTGCCTTTTGCAGTAGTCTTCATTCCTGGTAGTATAGGAGACTGTGGCAATTTTTCCCTCTCACCTACCTAACCACATGCACACTGTGAGAGAATTAATATTTTCTTTCATATGTACTGTTAGTCTCAGTAGTCCTTCAAATATTGGATAAACCAAAGTTTATTTACTGGTGATGGAACACATTACATTTCCAGTTTTTCAAGACTATCAGTTTTGGTTTGTTGGATATGTAAGCTTAAGAAACTCCTATAGGCTGTAAGCTGGTAGAAGATTTTATGTTGTCTGTGTATATATATACACATTAACGTAGTTGATCCTGTATTTGAGGTTATGCAGGTGGAGTCTGTTCTTACAGTAAGGAGGTGGCTTGGAATTGGACTTGGGGGGTGGAGGGGAGAGAGATCAACTATGAATATGTGATGACTCCTACCAGAAGAGCTGCTAAAATTTTGCAATAATGATTACAATTAATAATAAATAGCCATAATTATCGGTTACAGGCAAACTAATAATGCTCCTAAGATTTCAGTTAAGGATTCATTCCCAGATTGTAGTGAGTTTATAATTTCTGTGTACACTTGCATGTTTTACTTGTTGGTTAACCCTTTCTGGACCAAGGAGCACCTTTCAGATGTTGATAACATACCTGTATATCAAATTTCAAAATTTAAGTAAAAATAATAAGTTACTCTATTTCCACACTTTTTTTCCTCAAAGATATTTTACAAATGATATTTTGTCAATTTGTATAATTCACAAAGAAGAATATATAAAAAAGTTTAAGCTTACATTTCTGCAAAATGCATGTGTTGATTTTCTAGCACTTTTCTGCCCATCCTATAGCATAGATTTTTAGATGCTAAGAAACTATTATCAAATTAGAGTAAATTGACCAAGTCATATTTTTTCTCATTATTATCCTTCTCTGTCTGACATAAATGGATGGAAACAACTATTAAAGTGCAATTTTTTCCTGTTCTGCAGTTTAGGTGAACACCTTGTTTCTACTCTTGCAAAATCTTTACCTGTTAGTTTACTGTTTGTTGCAGTACAGGTATCATTTTATTTTGCATCCTGATTGGATCATAGTATGACCTATGCTGTTTTTTGTATTTTAATAGTATAAATAATCTAAGTTTCCTCTTTTTTTATTCCAGAAATAGGAATCTCAATACTCAATAAACTATATTCTATCATTCTATAATTTAGATGGTTTTCTATAATGAATGTTAGCAGTATATGGAGTTTGGAACTTTTATCCAAGTGTTGGCATATCTAATGCTATTGTGTGTAAAGTCAGCCAAATAGCTTAATTTTTGTTTTGTGATTCTGATGTTTTGGCATTTTAATTCTCATCTTCCTGTCAAAGGTCACTGACTTTTATTTGTCCTCACCCAGGGTGACCACAAATGACTGTATTTACTCTTGACTATAGGAATACGTTGGTTCTACATGTTTAAGACAAAGAAAAAGAACAAGTAAAGAATTGGCTGAATATATGATGATTTATATTTAAAAGCTATTTTAGTACAAAAAATAACATGTTTTGCCAATAAATGAAATAGTTACTTAAGTCCTTCTATTATTCTAGATTGAAGATTTAAAACAGAAAAAAAAACTGTTTCAAAAAACAATGTAGAAGTGAATGAATTTATTGCTTTCAAATAATAAAACCTTAGAAAATCCTTCCATAAGAAGTGTTAATAAAAAAGTGAATATGTTAATCAAAATTATAAAGATTGGTATACAACCTGTATGTCAAACTTGCTTGAAGTGAATTCTGGAAACTAGGTCATTATTAATTCTAATAAATAATAAAAGTTTTTCAAATTGTATTGATCAGTTGGTGTATTTATTCTATATTTTCTAGAGGTTACAAAGCTGATGAGGTGATGATGGCTGTTGGTATTTGTGCAGTAAGTACAAATTCTTGTTGCTTCTCTTATAGGATTGTAATTTAAATATATTGACTAGCTAAATGGGTCTTAGATTGTATGTTTATTATTGGCCTTACAGGGTTTTAAGTTGTATACTTGTATTGACTGTCTTGTCTTATAGGGTTTTAATATATACAACTTTTTACAGAGTAGTTGCATTCAAAACTTAAACTATTTTATTATCAGTGTAATTGCATATGCATAACTTGGCATCAAAATGTAGTTAATAAATCAAATTTTAATGTTTTATGTGTTTTAATTTTTTAATTTTAAACGAAAATACCTAAATAACTTCTCAATCTCCCTTGTCTGTGTAATGTGACATTCATTTGCTTTGACTTGCCCACTTTTTATTTTTTTCATCACCACTCTATGATGTCTAGAGTTTAATGTAGATTACTCATTGTAGTATAGATATTATGAAGTCATGGTCTAGTTTTTAGTCTTTTCTGTTTGCAGAGATATAAACCATAGATCAAACCCACTTCCCATGCTTTCGTATCATATCCTTTATTTTATAAATTACCAGTAATCTTCTCTGATGCTTACTATTACATCATTTATAACTAATAGAAAGACAACTTTTTATTTACCTTGTTCTCAGTAGAGATATTTAGTTATTTCACCTACATATTGAAAGTTATCCCTAAGTTCAGATTGAACAGTTAAAGGAATTATTTTAAGCCACTAATGCCTTAGTTAGAAAGCCAGTTAAATTATAATAGTTATAGGACATTGTTTGCTTTGTGCATGTTATTTTATGTTCTAAAGTGCATATTTGAGATGAGTAAAAAATTATTTAATGTACTAGTATCATCATTACAAAAAGTAGGCTTAAGTTTACTCAGCAGATCAGCAGCAAAACAAAAAGAGACTAAACATAACTACTAAATTTTGTTATTTATATATATATATATATATATATATATATTATTTATTTATTTATTGTTATAGAAGTAACTAACATAGAAATTAGAAACTTAATAAGTTAGATAATGAAAATATGATAATTTCTTCCCAGGGTATGCTCACAACTAGCTTGGAAGTGCTCATGCATTATATCACTCAATGCTGTAACTTGAGCTATGCATTTGGCACATGATTTACTTTACAGCTTGTATTGCAGGATTATTAGTTAGACACAGTTCAAAGAGCAATAAAACAATAGTATTAAATAAAAGCAGATGTAAACTCTTAAGAGTCTTAAGCTGTTTAGGATAAATAATTGTAATTTGCTGTTACAATGTGCAGTCATTCTAGACAGAAAAAAGGGTACTATAGATTTATTTTATATTTTTGTGGTGGTTACAAGGTTTCTGAAATCAACTGAGACTGTAATGTGTTAGGGTAGAGAAATAACAGATAAGATATAAAGTTTAACTGAAAAAATTTGAGAGGTTATGAAAATGAAATTTGAAAAATGTTAGCTGAAAACTTATTTTGAATCTTAACATGAAAATCACCTTGTACTCAGACTAGTCAGATTCCAAGTCTCACTCTGATTCAATATATTCACAGACAAATATTTAAGACAAACACATAATCAAAAAATCTGATTGTTTGTATACAAAAGTCTTGTAATGTTTACTAAAAGTTTGCTAAGTTTCATAAAGATACACTTACTACACTGAAAGTTACAGAATGGATAATTTCATGGTTACCTGGTGGTTACAAGTATGTTTCACTAGAGTTAATGGTTGGAACATAAAATTGTAACTCTAGTTATCCTTCGAAAAAGGATAATTTATAATTGTTGATCTTCATGAAAAAAAATTAATAATAATATAAATCGAATGTTTATCAGAGAAGTAATCTTATTTTTATGCTAGAACTAAGAAAAGTAATAATTACTTGACTTTTTTTTGGGGGGGCTTGGACAAAATTGTCATCAACTTCTTTTGTTTCATGCATAACTTCTTTAGATTTAATTCCAAAGTGAATACTCGCTTCAACACACAGATTAGCTTCTTTCCTCATGAGTTTGCACATTCTGCCAAGGAGATATGCAAGCCATCAGCCTTGTGAACACTCCCACCTAATCTCATGTTAAACCATTTAAATGTGTGCCACTGTATGATGAAGTCATTATGCAGCAAAACCCTCCATCAATAGGAGTGTGTTACACCTCCATGTACAATGACTTCTTCTACATTCGCACTCCCAAATCCTCATTTTTTCCTAGTCACTGTAGTGCACTGACATGTTTAGTGTGTGCTGATATTTTCTACTTATTCAAAATTCACTTGATTGACTTTACTATACTCAACATGAATTCACATTTTAGTGTGAATACTTTTAATGTTGATGTGAGTGAAAAATCTCATACAGAACAAATTACCACTATTTCGGCTGGAAGTTCTTTTTCTGTGGAAGACGTGATGGCCATCTTTCATTATGTGGCTAGGACCCTCTGCTCCTGTCCTTTCCACTCACTTCCCATCCCATTATTTCAAGTCTGAAACTCAAAAGGATAAATATGAACACCATTTTCCACCAGGTTTGCTTTGGGAACTACTCTACCTAAAGAACTTCACCCTCAGTCTTCCTGTGACTTTCCTCACATTATTTCTCAGATATTTACAATAAGTCTCTTACTCTTTCCACTCACTTTTACAAAAATCTTCTCTTTGCAATATATTTGTATTCCTTCCCTCCCTTGTTATATCTGTACATACCACTTCCTTTCAGATTCAACATCATTTCTGTGGTCTTATTCTTCATCCTACCTGCCTAACTGACTCCTATGTTCTTCACTTTATTCATTTGGATTTCCTATTCCTTGACTCCCAACCTTTTGGGTCTCTTTGACAGTTTGGGAGTTGGATTCGTTATCTGCTGTTTCCCTTTCTAGTGCTTACTTTACCTGTCTTTGTAACTTTCTTACTATCCTTTCTTGGTACCTCTTCCCTTCACCTCACGTTGAAAGCCCTTCTCTGTTCTCTTAATGACCTTTCCTGGGAATCTAGATCTCTCCTTTTTTGCTTTTATGGCCCATTTCACCTACTCTGCCATTTTGTCTTCTTACCTAGTTCCTCTGTTGTTGGAGCCTTTTGGGAAGGGCTTCCCTCCTACCTCAAATCTAACTCCCTTACTCAAAGACCTTCATTTTGCCCCTTTTCTTCATCTGGAGGTTTTTTGATAGTGTCCCAGTTCTGTACCTCATCTTGGCCCTTCTCCCACTCCCTGCCCTATTCCTGCATCCCATCCATCTTCCACTTCTTGTTCCACTTCCATCCAACATGTTACTCACTAGCCTAATTGCCAGTGAGTTGGCCTGGGACGTGTGAGAGTCATCATACAATTTCAGATGGTGAATTTTTGCTCTCTCCATTGTTCATTTCAGCCTACCCTGTGGATGACCAAGGTCTGTTTTGGAACCTTTCTCCACATCCCAATCGCCCTGTCCTCATGATGCTTTCTCTTATTCACCCACCAGCACTGCATTCTCCAGGTCTGTGCTCTTTTGTTCAGTATAATGTTGGTCCCCCCATATATTTTCATTTGCATTATGCAAGCCTTTGCTTGAATTTCTCGCATTCTAAACCTGTAATTCCACTTTAGGTTGCCAACAGATTTTCCCTCACGCATTCTCGGACATAATCCACCCCACACATTTCCAATTTCTTTCATGAATCTGGTCATTTGAGATGGCTTGTAAATTTTCCTATTCGTTCTTCACCCTGCCCCTATTTATCAGTCACCTGTAAATTATCATTTACTTGTCTCAGCTGTGCCCATCCTTCTCCCATTCTCCTGCTGGTAGTCACCTTGTTTCACACCTTGTATTCACTTTCTGCACCAGAGGTTCCTTCTTCTTTAAGGACCATGGCTTCTCTGTAACCTCTTCTTCTACTTGGCCATGCATATATGTCCCCTACAGTGGATGTTACAAACCAGTGGAACCTTTCAGAGTTCCATTGTCCTCACTGATGCTCCTCTCTTTCTCTTCTTGAAGATCATGCTTGTTGGCTAGACCACTCCAACACCATCTCCCTTATCTCCTCCTACACCTTCACTTATTTATGGACATTTCTCTCTCAGAATGGGAAGCATTTTCAACTGATGGTCAGTCTTCGGGCTCTTGGTTCCTAAAGGATTGTTCTCTAATTATTGTATCCTTTGAACTACTTACTATTCATTGGGCATCCTTACATTTCCTTTTACTCCTTATGGATTGTTTAGTTCTGATCTGTTTGGACAGTTGCACTGTTGTATTTCATGTCAACCACCAAAGGGCCACACACCCCAAGCCCCTCTTCTTTCTGACATTGGAGCTCCTCCTTTGGACCCATTCCAGCCAGCTGAGTTTGATAATTTGTCATGCTCTGGGTGCATTGAATATCATCACAGACTGTCCTTTTCAATGAGACTGTATCCTACACACTGAATGGTCCCTTCCCGCACAAGTTTTTCCTTGGCCTGCTTTCAACTTGCTACTCCCCATATAGATGTTTTTGCCACACCCCTTAAAGCCATGCTTCCTCTCTTTGGTCTCATGTGCCTCATTCCTGGCTATGTCCTCAGTCAGAATTGAATCCCATGTTTTTTCATAGGACTGTTCTCCTTTCTGCTTCCTCCATCAGGTCCTTGGTCTGATTTAGGACACCCCCTTGTAGGGTCTTATTGGTGGCCCTTCACTGGTGATCCTATCCTTAGTTTCTGTTAATCTGTCTTCTCTCATCCAAGCCTCTTTATAACATATAACCTCCTCTTTCACATGTCTGTTTGATCATGGCTTGTCTGTCTATTTCATCACGGCTTATCAGGTGGGATTTTCTACCACCTCCTGCTTTCTCAATGTCACAGGATATTTTCTTCACCAATCTTTCTACCTTTTTTCTTATCCACAAACATCCCCATTCTCCTCTTTGCTTGACTGGAATCTCACTGTGGTTCTCCATGCTCTTACCCAGGACCCTATTGAACCTCTAGCAACTTGTTCAGTGTATCATTTCTCCCTAGACATGTACTTCTCCTCCTTGTCTGAGGTCACTGTTATTCAGATGTCTATTCCATAGTTTTCTCTCAAACACTTTTAAACCATGCTTACCTTATTATATATCCCAACTGGACTTCATTTCTTTAGTCTTCCATGGCAAGGGTCGGTGGTCACTTCTTTATCCCATATCCTTTCCTTCTATATCCCTTTTCTATGTTCATTCAGTATCAGGCAGACTCCTGTGTCCTGTCCTGGCCCTCTGTTGTTTTTGTCATGCTCTTCTTCCTTTTGGGGTTCCAGTCACCATCATTTCATTCCTTATGACCCCTCCTCTACTAAAGATCACTCTCTTTCCACCCTTACAGGATAGATCTGCCTGCTCATCCTTCTGGTATATGCCTCTTTGAGGATGGTTGATTCTAGGCTCCTTTGTGTCTCTACTCATCAGATTTGTCACCTCCCACATTCTCTAGCTATTCTTTTTTCACTGACCTTTGATTCTATTCTCCAGGCTGGCATGTGGACTACTCCAAACTCTTGTTGCCCAATATCTGCTCCACCTGGCTGTTGTATCTGCATAGAGATTTAGACCTCTGCCTATGGCCATTCACAGTTCCACCCTCTGTCTATAGACAGATGAGTGTAAAATATTTGTTCACCTATAGAATCCCACTAGGGGGCTAGTGTTGCCTCCCAGGGTATACTTATCCAAAATCCACATCAAGCCAGGATGATAGGAAGCACTAAGATCATCTGTCCTGGCTCTACGAGTGCCCACTGCAAAATCACTTGAGGTTTCCTCTTAGTATTTCTAAATATATATATATATATATATCTGTGTTACTGTTATAACCAATCCAGACTGTATGTACTCCAGGGACTATCATGAGAAAACCTAGCACCAGAGTGGTGTTTCTGCCCTATACCCTGGATGAGGCAAGATGCAATCTTCCACAGGTTTGCCCCTAAAGAGCCCCTACCATTGGATGTCACACCCCAGGATTTTCCTTCAGTCACTTTCTGAATGGAACTCATCTAGATAATATTTGCACCAGTACCTCCACCATCTCAACATGGGATTCTAGCTAATCTGTGTGTAGAGGTGAGTATTCATTTTGGAAGTTAACATTTTCCTTACCTGAAAATGTATTTCTGATAGATACTCTCTCTTCACACATTCCTACCCAGTCTTCCCATTTTTCCGGTGCACGTTTCTTCATTGCCTCATCAAAGAATGTGAATTCATGAGCCCAAATGTAGATGGAGTCATTGCACATGGAGGCATGTTGCTTTCCTATTGGTGAAGGGTTCTGCTGCATGATAACGTCATCATGCAGTGGTGCTAGTTCACATAGTTTCACGTGAAATTAGATGGGAGTTTTCAAAGCTTGCAAATCTCTTTGGCAGAAGTTGCAAACAAAGGGGAAAAGAAGCTAATACGTGAGTAGAGGTGAGTATCTATTGGAAATACATTTTCAGGTAAGGAAAATTTTGACTTTACTAAAATAATGAATACTCATTGGTACTTCACATAGTAAATTTTTACAATAAAAAAGGCATAAAATGTAGATTAGGTATAAATTATGTATGTGGTGTGCTTGAATTTAATTTAGTTTTTAAGTAACAGTTATTATTATTATCTATAAATTGTTGCAAAGTTTTAACAAAAATACATTGTTTTTTTTTTATACTTAGATAGAAGTGTGGATATTGAACATACATTAGTTAATGTATGCAAACTTTAACTCATTCACTTTTGTTTGCCTTGCAATTTATACCCCTTGTAGTTATGTTCAGTGAATCTTATCTCACAATGATATAATCGAGTGTAAAGTAGGATTTAGTGAACATTTTTTACTTTTATTTATTACAATTTGTAATGAAAAGTATAGTAAGGAAATTGATATTTAGCCATTATGGAAGGTCTTTAACCTACATGTTTTCAGAATATTAAAGTGTGGTTTCAGAATTCTGAAAAAATCTGACTCTTGACTTAAAATCTTGTTGTTGTTGTTTTTTAATTATAATCTCAAAATGACTTGAATTTGCTGATTTTATTTTCTTTACAGGTAGTAACCCTAGGTTTGACCATTTTTGCTTTTCAAACAAAGGTTTGTGAAATACTTTTTTTTCAGATATATTATTACTGTATCATCCAAACTGTTTTTAACAATGATTGATCTTCACCTTCATTATCTGTGAAAAACTAGAGTTAATTTAACTCAGCATGTTTATTAATGTACTTTTTCATTGATGTTGATGTAATGATCTAGAAATTGTACGTACTAACTAACAAACACCAACAATATATGTATCATAATCAGTGAGTTAATGACTGAGTTGATTCAGTACCATTTAGTTGGTGAGAGTTATTGCATCTGTAATTCAGTTTGTTAGACAATGAGGGTTAGTGTTGCTGTGAATGAAATTCTGCAAGTAAGTTTTGTATTTGTAAATGTGAGTTAGGTGTATGCTAGTTTTCAGAAGTTCTATCAAAAGTTATTTGAACTTTTGTGTTTGAACTAAGTCCTACAAGTAAACATAGCCTGTAACAAATGTTCCTTTTTGAATAAATGAATTAAGTCATTATAGTTATCTGGACTGGACTTCTCATTGTTTAACCAAGTAATCCAAAATAACCCACCCAATGCTAGAAAATGTTACATCAATGATAATTTCTTATTTTCTTTTGTTTTCCTACTAAATACATTATTTTCTTCAGCTTTGATAGTTTTGCCAGAAATTAATCAAGTGTATTTTTTCTGCCAAACATCTGAAGAAGTATTTTAAAGAATATCTGTTGAAGTTGCTTATTGATTTTCTTACTGCAAAGCAAAGAAATTTTATATTAAAACTGAAGTCATGTTTTGCTTAAATTATTCTAAAATGATATAGATTTTTTTTGTTTTTGTAAAGAATAATAATCAGCAAATATGTGTTCATATCTGATTATGTTTAAATTAAAATATAAATACCATCCTTAATTTTAGCCCCCAGTGGCACAGTGGTATGTCTGTGGTCTTAAAACACCAGAAACTGGGTTTCGATACCCATGGTGGGCAGAGCACAGAAAGCCCATTGAATAGCTTTGTGCTTCAATTCGATGATGAGGAACCCACTTTGAGAGTAATAATGGTTGGAGACGGCTTGAATGGGTAATGAAGAAAAACTTTAATGTAAGTTTAACACAACAGCAAATGTACAACGTTTCGACAAGGTTTTGTCATCATGATGATGATGACACAACAGCAAATGTACAACGTTTCGACAAGATTTTGTCATCATGATTTTGTCTTTTCATTACCCAATAAAGCCGTCTCCAACCATTATTAGCTTTGTGCTTAACTTCAAACAAACAATCCTTAATTTTCAATTATTTGCTCGTTGTCATGTACCTTTTTTTTTTTTATCTCTCATGTAGTAGTAAGTATCCAAAATAAATTAGAAAAGATTATGAAGTGCAGATTATTTTTTCAATATCTTACAGTGGGACTTCACCACATGTGGCGGGTTTCTATTAGTGGCAGTCTTGATCTTGATTTGTTTTGGCTTTATCTGTATCTTCATTCCTGGACGGGTTAGTATTGCTGTATCATTAAAAAAGGGCATGGCAAATTTTGGTGTTGGAAAGGAGGGTACACCTTTCCTCGTAGGTTTTAGTTACAGTATTTTCTTTATGTCAAAAAAAATTATGTTTTGATCAGGAGTTGGTACAACCATATAGGTAAGTAGAAAATATCAAATTTAGTTTTGTGAATATTGTTTAAAGTAAATTTTGGTCATACTATACAACATAAAAAGACATGGTGTTCTAAAACTAGAATTTATACAAGAAGTGTAAAATCTTATCTTGCTCCATAATAATAAAAAACCAAGGTTCGGGAAATTATTATTCAGTATAATGTGTTTTGTTTTTTCAAACTTAGTTTTGAATTATCATACCATTACAATTTTAATATTAGTTATGAAGAAGAAAGTTGCATACCACATACACATCTGAAAACCCAGGAAAATGGTGTTAAAACTATTAATATTAGACAGGTTGGTATGTCATAAATTAATTTCAAATAAACTAAGTTTCTTGTAAAAGCAACTTTCTTTTGCTCACTGCTTTTTACCTAAACAAATGCCAGCTTCTCTACCCCCCCCCCCCCTGTATTTCTGAATAATAACTCAAAGATAACTTGCTTAGTTATACATAAGTTTGATTGTTACATCAGAACAATGAACTTGAATACTTTGTTGTGTAGCTTGTTTGTAACAATTGAGATCTTATTATCACAAAGCTAGTTTGTTTTATCACAGAAAAGAATGGTAAGTTAAACAGCCTGGTAGGGAAAATTCAAGTACTGTGTATCAAACATAAGGTAAGAACTTGAAATAATCTTACCCATTATTCTAGGTAATCCTCTGTAACAACTGTAACCTGTCTTCTTTTTTTTTATGGCCTACAGTGAATATCACAGTCCTTACATTGTTGTAAAAAGTTACTGTTCTCCTGTGCTCTACCATAGAGCAGTGTCTTGTTTACACAAGCATAAACGAGATTGAGTGGGACAGCTGTTTGATTTTTCAGTGTATGCTTTACCATACTTTTTGGTGTGTGAGTTTTTTAACATTTTCTTTTTAAATAAAGTTCTCATTTGACCAGACTCTGAAAGAAAAAACAATAACAAAAACTAGTAGTGTTTCTGGTTGGATATTAAAGTGAAAAATAAAACAATTGTCACTTTTTTTTTTCCCCTTTCTTAAAAAATATTGTACATCTATTTTGTTTTTACTTGGTACACTAATATGTACATTCTTATTTACTTGAAATGATGGTTTTTAGTAAGTATTTTTTATGTATAAAGAAACTCACTTTTTGGGGGGTAAAAGCAAGTTGATATAAAGTATATTGTTTAATATGTCTTCATCAGTTTCTATTCTTTTACAGGTTGTCGGTATTGTTTACGCATCCCTTGGAGCTCTAATTTTTTCATTGGTAAGTTAGTCTGAAAAATAACCTTATGGACACAGTGTAGCTTGTATGTTAAACAGTTCTCTCATATAAGTTACTTCTTGTTCATAAATAGAAATATCAGTTTGAAAATGTGATTCAAGACTTTCAGGTGTACAATTTAGTAACTAATGAATTTAATACTTCTGTGTCATTTTTTTATAATGATTCTGTTTTGTGAAGCTTCATATATCATATGGATACATAAAAGGTTTAAACATCAGATTGAAATTGTAGCAAAAATCCTTAAACAATTTTTTATATAGAATTTAAAAAATAAGTTTAATGAATCTGAGTATCCTTGCATTTTTACAATTATCTTGTTAACATATAATTAATACTTTTTTAAGAAATTGAATTTCATGTCATGGTTTATGATTTGTTCTTTGCATGTGTGACTATTTTTTCAACAAAACATTTTGGTATGTAAGGCTAAAAACTTTCTAAAGACATAAAATGCTCAGTGACATCATGGCCATGACTTTTTAGATGGGGCTGAGCCAACTTGCGAGCAATGAAAAGTTTCTGACAGATTCTAAATCACTAGGGACAGTGTAACATATAGCGTATTAGGCCCTATTATTATTATCGTTATTCTACAATTCAGAATGAGGCCGATTGACTTGCCAATCAGATAACATTTGGAGTATTGAGTGTTTTCGTAAGCAAAGCAAGAAAGTGTATGTGTATATTAGGCATAAAGAGTAAAATTATAACAAATATAACTGAAGACAGAGAACATCAGATAAACATGTGCTACTGTTAATTTAGAAAAAATACAATAACAAGAGTATATATATATATATATGTGTAAATGAAAAATGTAGTAAAACAAGGAGTAAGGAGTTTCTTCATTAGAATAACTTTGTAAACACTGGAGTTATTTCATCAGAAATCTTGATAGCCAGTGTTACACATCGAAAAGTAACATTACGTCAAGATGCTCTGGGTCCATTGTAGACCACAGTTTGTCTTTCATGATTTTTTTAACTTTGAAAAATGGGGTTCACACTTTTTGGAACCCACCAGAAGTGCTGCTAGCATTTTGTTTAGCTGAAAAAAGACTGGAAAAGCATTTTGAATAATATGTTTAGCTACCATATTAAGACCTGTGATGAATTTCTGTTTCTTCATATATTTTTGGTACTCCTTCTGCTATTGGCTGTCCTCCCATAGCAACACCAGACATTATGGTTTGCAGTGAAACTGCAGGCTGTCATACTTGCAGCCTCATAGTTCATCATAAGATCTGAAATTGGTCCAGTAGATGTACCAGTCAATATGTAGCTTTCATCACTGACTTTATCAATGTTACCAAAGGAAAGAATGGTGTAGAACCACAAGTGAATGGTCTGGACTAGCTTTCCATAGCTTCAATAATAAGTGAACTACACCATGTTGTCCATTCATCTGTTAATAAATTAATACTTTCCTTTATTGTTAGCCCTGGCTAAGATTTACTCTACTTATAGATTCATTACACTTATATAATGCATATCTCTTTATGCTTGAATATGACGTAGATCTCAGATTTGTGTGCTCAAGTATATGTGTTGCCAACGCTCTAGTTGTAGAACCTATATTACGTTTAGGACACCTTTGTTCATATACTACATTTGTTGTTTTATAAGCATATACCCTAATTTATATCTCAAAAAATATTATAATCTAGAAACAGGCTTAAACACGCATCTCAATTCTACTTGCAGATAATTCTAATGGATTATTTGTTTTAACTGATATCTAATCTGTATCACCTTCTTTCCAACGCATGATAAAACAAAAGTATTTTGGTGTTTTGCTACTTCCCACGTGAATGATGTAGGAAGGATCTTCTTATTTAAATAATCATAGATAACTTGTTGTATAATATTTGTTAGAAATTCATTTTTTATTAGGAATCCTGTAATATTTTCTATCACTTTATGGGATAAATGAAATAAACAGCCTAGTTTACTTATTATTGAAGTTGTAAGTGATTTTGTAGTTTCCAATAGTTCAAGATCACAACAAAAGGATTTGCAGGGGCAATAACAACAGCATATTAGATGTCATTTCAGTTCTGCAGATAGAGATCTTAGAACAAACTGTGGGGGTCTGTCCCAAGTTCTTCCACAGCAACACCAGACATTGTGGTTCATGAATTACTTTATTTCTTCAATAGGTAACATTTGTTACAGGCTGTGTTTACTTATAGGCCTTACTTCAAACACAACAACTCAAGTAACATTTAACAAAACCTCTGTAACTAACATACACCTAACTCACATTTACAAATACAAAACTTGCAGAATTTCAATCACAGGCACGCTAACCCTCACCGTTTAACTCTAACTGAATCACACATGCAATAGCTCTAACTAACTAACTGGTACCGAGTTAACTTAATCATTAACTCACTGATTCTGGTATGTATATTCATTTTCTATTTATTACACAAAATTTCTAGATCATTACTTATATAGGTTACACTTCTATTTAGTAAACCATCTCTTAGATGTGCTTTCTGTTGAAATATATTGCTGATTAGTGATGGTTCCTACTATGGTATATTAATTTAAATAGATTTATGAGGAACGTGTTTGTGAAGTACATACAATCTACGTGTCACCAAATACCTTGTATGTCTGGAAGATGCACTTATAAAAAAGATAAATATACTACTGTAATATACATGACAGCTTCTATATATGAGAAAAACTTTGTCAAATAGTTAATATTCCTAATAAATTCAGAACATTTACAAATTTGACACTGGAACTGGACTTTTCAGCCTTTAGTTTATGTATGCTAAATTTTACTTTCTTTTGATAGGCCTGATTTTGCTAGGCTTGAGAATTGCGGGTACTTAACTACTGCAGAACGGTACTGTTTGGTTTTTCTATATATGGAAAAGAAGATGTTCTTCTTGCCAATTGCCAAGTAAAGCTTCATAATTTTTTTTCCAACAGACCACAACACTAAGAGGGGCCATGGCCTCATCTGTCTCCCAGCCACGATTCCCCTGGTTACTTAATGAGCAGAAGCGAGCATGGCTCGGTGGTTAATATGCTGGATTATAGATCTGATTCATGCCCTGTTAGTGCCAAAGAAAAGAAAAAACATTCTATTCTTTGTGGGTGGTCGTGAATCATAAGAGTGACACTCAAATCCCACTATTTGGTTAAAAAGAATTGGTGTCTGATGTTAATTCTTTGATAACTTGCATTTTATCTAATCTATCACTTCAAAATTTAGAGATGGCTAGTGCAGATAGCATTTGAGTAGCTTTGCACAAAATTTAACAAACAATACTTAATAAGTAAAAGTAGCACAATCAAAATTTATCAATAAGAAGACAATTTTCCAAAAACTGAAAATTAACACACAAGTATGCATTCATTATTCCAATATTAATCTAAATAGATTTATGAGGAACCTGTTTGTGGAGAACATACCATCTCCAAGTGTACAAATATCTTGTTATCTGAATAGATAACCAATAAATAGTACAAGTTTGGTATTTTAACACGTTCGGTTCTGCAAGTGAAGTAAATATTCCTTGTATACAGTTAACTTGTCACTTACGAGTAATGCTTGAACAATATTAGTGATGTTTGATTATAGTGTATGAAGGTGGTAATGGTGCTTCTATTGTAGTACCTGTGTGATCATAAAATAACACGTACTGACTTATCTGTATTAACATATGGTTAGATTTACAGAGTTGTGTGATATTCTGTATTGTTTGTTTTAATCTTTTTCTTGTTTATATTACATTAATGAAGTCATTTGGTAATGAAACATTGTTTACTTGATCCACTAGTACATCGTGTACGACACTCAGCTGATGTTAGGTGGCAGACACAAGTATTCCATTTCTCCAGAAGAGTACATCTTTGCAGCCCTTAACCTGTACTTGGACATCATCAACTTGTTTCTCTTCATTCTTCAGCTTGTTAGTTATGCCAGGCGCTAAACAGTTTCTCACCATTTGAATGATATTAAGAAAGCTCTGTGCTGTTCAAGTTATTTTTGAAATGTTATCTCTGCTGTAAAACTTGGAGCATATGGAAAGAAATCTAGTTAAACTTCTAATCATCAAAGAAATATAACTAAGATATTAATGCTGTTTATGGAAAATTATTGCCAATTTAAACATCATAATTAGAAATAACTTCAGTCTTTAATAATTTAAAGTCTTTGTTTTCATCTTAGTGTAACTTTCAAAGCAATTGTACAGGAAATGTTTTGTTTTTCCTAAATAACAATTTTTAGTATTAATTCACAAAAAAACTCAGCTTGTATCACATTTTACTAATAATTCCTTGATAACAAGTATTTTCGAATCATGATGATGATTACAAAACCTTGTCGAAAAGGTTGTACATTTTCTGTTATGTTAAACTTATATTAAAGTTTTTCTTCATTACCCATTCAAGCTGTCACCAACCGTTATTAGTCTTCGAATCAGTTTACCAAATCATTTCTATACAGTTCACTTCAATAAATATCACTTTTGAAAGATAAAAATATTGCTGTAATATACATGGATCTGAAATATATGTTGGAACCTTTATTGAATAGTAATAGAGACTTAATAAGTCACACTACTTGCAATATATAAAAACCGTTTTTAATTTATTTCTTAAATATATTAGAAGAAAAACAATACAAATATTTTTGGCCATGAGCCTTCTCCAGATGCTAGCTCCATAGAAGTTCTAAATTAAAAGAAAAACTGTTATCCAATAGCTGCAATAGTAATAAGCCTTGGTACTTGGGATGACATTCCACCTTACATAGTCCATTTAAGGTTCTAACTTTTTTTTTTGTACAACATAAAAACGTTTTATTAGTCACTTAAGGTGTACCGTAGTTACTAAGATTTAAAGCTGCTCTCAAAATGCCTAAATCAAACAACAGCATCTTGCCAGCTAGATATTAAAAATCACTTATGTTGCAGTTTTTTAAAGGAGTTCTGCATCTTCATAAGGAAGTAATAGTTTTTTAAGAAGTTAAATGTAGACTTTACACAAATTTATAGAGAAGCCTGAGAAATAAAAGGTATGATATAATGATGTTGAGCTATAAAGCAAACTTTAGTCCATTCTCTAGTTGTTGAAAAATATGTAGTTACAAAGAGGATTAAATGTTTCCAATGAATTAGTCAAAATCACTATGTGTGTGTGTGTGTTTTTTTTCATATTTTTATCATACTGTAGAGTCATTTAATATTCAAAATTTTTCATTTAATTTTTGAAATATGTTTCAAGTTTCTACTCAGTCTTGAATTTCAACAAAAATATAATTTGATCTCAATTGAAGATCCCTTATTCAGTGAACTATGTCACACGAGAAACAAGTTTTGTTTTTGCAAAAGTAGATGTTTATTTGTACTTGTTAATTGTGATTTTTGAATAAGTTTTAATTTACAACTTTATTTTTTTTACATTTATACGTTAAAGAATGTATATTTTAAGGTGGAGAATACACAAGAAACCAAATAATTCAAAACCTTGAATGATTGTTTTGTTTCTACAGATTGTAAATATTGATGTCAAGAATTATATATGTTACATCTCTTAGATGTGCTATCTATTGAAATATATTGCTTATTAGTGGTGGTGGTTATATTACCCACATTAATGGGACAAATAATAAATAAAACAAATATCTTGCTGCTAAAAAGTTAAGTTTATGTTTTGTATTACAAATCTGTGACTTACATTTGTATTTTTTACACTTAATTGAAAGGAGAGTGGAAATTTATATGTGTATGAATGAAATTAACTTGGAAGAAGATGAATGTTAATTATCAAATGCTTTTTATCTATCTTGCAGATATAAGCTAAGAAATTTATTATTTCACTATACTTGCAATACATATTTAGTTTGTAATAAAACAAACACTATTGTAAACATAACTTTTCTCCAGCAACTGAAAGTTGTGCAGTTTTCCTCAACATTTAGTTAAGTATTATTATTATTTTAGATAATCAATATTATTGTGCTTCATTTTTTGTAGAAGCTTTGTATAGAGTATTTTCTTTCTTTTATTCAACTAGTCATATATTTTCTGGTTTTTATCTTCATTCAACTCCCACTGAGCAGTACTTAAATTACACCACAGCTTTCCGACTTGCTATATTGTTAATAATAGGTAAGCAAGTACCGACTTGTAAGAGTTTTATTAATGTTGAAACATATAGTATGTTCAATAAAACTTTTCCTTATGCTTATAAATCCTTGTTTGCCTACCTATTATTATATTAGTATGATGTACTTCCTTACTCAAGTACACTTGTTGCTGTTGTTATTAAAGACAAGTAATATATTGTGTATAGTAGAAAGTGTTAAAAAATGTACCCAAAGTTCACACTGTAATAGGCTTTTGTTAAGCATTAATGGATATTGTGAAATAATGTGTTCTAAAACTAAGCAAAAGAATAGTATATTTATATATTTACTTCAAAATGTTAAGTTTAAGTTTTTATTAATTTGTAATAGTAAAGAAATGTTGACTCAATATTATGTACGGAAATATTGTCATCTAAAAATGTGTTCATTGCTACATGTGTCTAATAAAATTTAGTTACTGCTATTTTGTTTTTCCATTGAAAGTTGTATTTAAAATGGCACACACGTAACATAAATGTTATGTGCATTAAAGATATTTATGTTATAAGACAGATCTTTAATTATGTTTCCATGTATAATTAAGGATTACGTACGTGCTAAGTTGGGGAATATTCTTCTACAATAGTTTTACAAATAATATCACATCCAACACATTATACGTGTCAAATTTTGGTTCAATTTCAATCGTTAGTTAGCAATGTGGTACGTGTGGTTGTGTAGATATTTAACGAGATGTTATACATATTACTGTAGGTGTGATTGTTCAATTAATAAAGTTCTGAAAATGTTAAATTATTTATCTGTTTTCATCAACAAGAAAAATTATATACTCGCACAAATAGATGTTTTTCAAAAGTTTTTTTTATGATGGATAACTTTAAATATGGGAGAGAGAAAATGTTTCATTGAAAAGATATTTAAATATTTTTAAACAATATTACAAAATATTACACTAAAGCCATATTCATAGTATACATTTTAAACTTTGTGTTTTACACAAAAGTTTTATACTTAGTATTACCACAAAATATTTATCCACCAACTGTAAAACTAATCACGCAAGTAAAAAGAAAAAAAAAGCTCCAGAAAATGTAATTAACCCCTTCTGCTACTTGCCAAAGAAACTCGTGTTTGGGTGCCCTTTATGTTTCAAAAAAAATATCTAGACAAACCATTTCTTGCCTGAATTTTTTTTTTACTATCAGTGCTCACTAGATGGCATTGGAAATGCTGTTTGTGCTGATCTCTATCATATTTATTCTGAAGTTCTCTGCTTTCACAAAACCATATCCTTATTTCAGGTTTTAAAAAACAGGATGAAAGATGAAATTCGGATAATTTCTTACAATAAAATTTTGGAACATAACTAGACTTTCAGTATACATCATGTTTCGTTACATATCAATTCATTAAGATACAAGTTTTCCCATTTTCTTGATTCTGAAGCTCTTAATTGACTCCACAAAAGTTATGTTTAGTTCTATTAATGAGATTTTAATTATTTATTTTACAAATCTAGCATTATACTGGTAGTTGATATATTACCAGATTTAATCAGCAAAATTGCTTTACTTGTCGATCAGTCACGTCTTCCCTCCTTAGAACTTCCACTGCTTTACACAAATGTAGGTTTTATACCTAGTATATCAAGGTCAAACAGATATTACAGATTAAGGACTTTACATCCGTCAATAATTTAAAAAGTTTGTTGTGGGTATCTTTCATAATTTTTAAATTATTTGTCATCCTTATTTCACTGGAATAAAATATACTTAATAATGAAGCATCATAAACAACTTCATGCTCCATCCGTAATGGCATATCTGGGTTTTTCCATAAAAAATAATTAGAATTAAAGATTTTTTGTGTTTAATTTTAAGATGTTCATTTATCATTAAATCAATATCCCCATGTGTTTGAGCAGAATAAAATGTCTTTAAAATTACTGTAATAAATAGTCTAGCAGTAAACTGCTAAATTTGACACTTTTTTTTATACACTACTTCAGTATTTGTCTGTTAACATGGTGAGCCAAACTCTGTATGATGCCTTGCATTTCTTTAGCCAAGCAAACAATATAGGAAAGGCATGCTATGATACTTCAATCATTGGTGAAAATAGCTAATAAATGATGCATAGGGCTAGATACAGAACAAAAGAAAGAAAGCACTTCCACCAAATGTATTCCATGTCAAAGTTAACCCTTTTGGTGCATAAAGCATATCAGGCTGGTTTTCAAAAAGTGTCAATTATTAACAAAAAAAATTAGATTAGGAATTTGATCTTTCCTAGTCTTTTGTGAAGCCATGGGGTAAATTTACTTGTCGCAGTGGAAGGAAAGGTTTTCGTGAAGATATATCTGCTTAATACATCATAAGGGTTAATTATGTTTACTGTGTGAAGTTGTAATGATGAGAAAGCTTTGATGGTCCAGTTCTTATTATGAAGTTACTAATAGTTGTCATCTAGTCGTGTGTTGATCTTAATGTGACATCAGAGGCCCACAAACAACTTAGCCTGATAACAAATCTGTCCATATTAACCTTAGTGATAAAAAATCTAAGTAGAAGAGTCAATTCAAACAATAATAGCTTAATTAAAGCAACTTATAAGCCCCCCCCAAAAAAAATAAACTAACTAAATAGAAGAGTCAATTTAAACAATAATAGCTTAATTAAAGCAACTTATAAGCCCCCCCCAAAAAAAATAAACTAACTAAATAGAAGAATCAATTTAAACAATAATAGCTTAATTAAAGCGACTTATAAGCCCCCCCCAAAAAAAATAAACTAACTAAATAGAAGAGTCAATTTAAACAATAATACCTTAATCAAAGCGACTTATAAGCCCCCCCCCCCCAAAATAATAAACTAACTTTTATATAACTTATGAATTAATGCAAATAAATAAAAATTCAAAACTGCATACGAAGCATAACTATCAGAAATTAATACTAAGTGAAGTTTGATGTATAGTATCGGTACAAATTAATCACATAATAACAATAACCTCTTTCTCACTTAGAATTAAATGTTTAATAGAATAGAAATTAATAATTTCTTATGTAGCAGAACCAGGAAAGTCACCTTTGAATGGAGAATAAAGGCTTGGAAAGGCAGTTTTGAACTCTATGGTCATTGTTAATATAGCAAATGTTCCATTGCCCTGAATTTTATATCTGCCTACTTGTTAGGAAACGCAAGTGTGTGTCAGGGTTGCCAGATGGTCGGGGAGATTTATGGCCAAATTAATGGTTAAAAAAAGGCCAACTCCTAAACTCCATACAAAACACTACTATAAAATAAAAATTTAGCTTAAAAATATATATTTTTTCATTTATTATAATATATAATAAATTAATTAAAATTAAAACACACTAAGAAGCGAAATAACTCTCCTCAAATTACAAGAAAATTGGTAAGTTTCATCTCCTTCTTCTTCCTGTAAGGCAAGTTTCTCCTTTTGTTTTGCCACTTTCTTTTTGTAACCATGGGAATGTTTTTTCCCACTCTTTATTGTATTTCCTGCCATGATCATAATACGGTTTCCACTTAGGAAACATAGTAAACAAAGGGTTATCAGATTTAAGAAATAAAACTCATAATTTCTTCAATATCCGCATTGGAACACGACACAACATGTAAAACCGTTCTACTACTACTTAATAATGCAATGCTTGTAGTTTTGTACAATGTTTTACGTGTACAAACATCGTTTGGTCTCGTCACACCTCGTAGAGATGTGTATATTACTGAAGCTGCGTGCACAACACCCCACTACTCGTGTTTGAGCATTACCACTGAATCCAGAGAGAGAGCATGGTGAAACTGAGTCTTTGCACAGAGAAAATCATCCCTTTCACTATTGAACCACACATTATACAATCCTTACTCAGATAAACGTTCTTACGAAACAATACTGCCTGCTTCAGCTAGAAATGTCAATGACTCCATACATTCTTCAGACAACTGTGGAATGTACAAAGCTGCATCCCCTGTTTCAGTCCTTTACATTAAAAGTCTCACCTCTATAGCCTTCTGGAGTGTGTTTGGTTCTGTCACTGGGTCAAGCAATTGTATGTTAGCAGAATTAACTTCTGCGTTTTGTAAAAGAGTAGGCCAATAACTGTTGTAAAAAAACACTGACAATTTTCGCATAATCCCTCAAAAAGGAACCCACAGTCTGGTAAATACTATGTCCAATGGCTTCCATGGTTTTCTAAAACCAATTATTGCTTCTATCATAATCAACTGCACTTCTGTTCTAAGCCTTGAAAGAGTGGTCTCACACATAGGATACTAGTTATGCCCCTTTTACAAAAAGAACAGAATATGGGTTTTTCACACCTAGTTTCTGAAGAAGATTCATTGAATCCCTAAATCCTATATCTATATCTGTATCCAGGAGAAATCACTTTGGTATATGTTACAGTTAACTGCTACATCATTATGTTGCCTATCAGCAAGATGCAGACCAAAGGTGAACATAATATATAAACTAGTGGATACAACAATCCATTTTTTGCTTGTGCATGCTGTAACTTTGCCTTGAGAATACATACTTAACACTTTCCTTACATACATATACAAATGTCAAAGGTGAGTCATCTACAACCAGGATGGTAGTATTCTTATTCCTTTCTGCCAAAAGGCAAAATCTCCATCTTATATACCTTTATTCTTTAATACATAATTTAAGTAATTATGGTGAAAATTTAATTGCAACATATTATTTTTCAGTTTGTCATAGTGATATGTGTATACCAAAGTAAGCATTTGATTGCAAACTATAGGAGGTAATAATTTTGGTATTGCGGAAATCTTAGGAGCATTAACAAATTTATGATTAAATTAATAAAAAGTTTCAAAACTAACATTGTCACAAGATCTTTGGGAAAGTATTGAAACTTGTTAATATAAACTATGTTCTCGGTGAAACATATAGTTTCCAATATCTTACTCTGAAACAAACAATAATTAAACTGGTTTCAATACTGCCTTCACAATAATTTCTTTAATACCAAATATATAGTAACTTCTGCACCATCCTGTACAGATATAGCTAAAGCCCGTGAGTTTATAGATTTGTAAGCATGATCACCTAACCTTTCATAAAGTAACCACTAAATAAAACATAACTGTACTTCAAAATGGTGGAATACTACAGTAATTACTTCTTCATCAAATATTAAAATCTAAAAAATAAATGAAATTCTTGTTCAATATAATTTATTAATAAAGTTTCACAACATAAATACAAAATATCTGGTTTTGCGAGCTAGTGAGTGTACAATATATACTTAATAAAACAATTCACATTTACTCATAATTTATGAAAAGAATAAAAACACATACCTTAACAAAAACACTTTCCAATATTGTCACAGAAAAAAAGTAACTTTTCTTTATAACTTGGCCTGATGAAATCATTCATTATTGAAATGAAAGGCAGATTTCAACGAACTATTCATATATCATCTCCCAACATAATAGTCAAGAACTCCTCTTCATTTACTAAAAAAAAAACATTTTGATATGTAAGCATTTACAAAATTAAATGTAGGAATAAAAAAATGCATAGCATGTATTTTACTCTACCAAACTCATCAAAAACTTAAAAAATAAATACATTACCTAATTACAATTGTATGCTATCATTCCCTTGCTTAAACATAATAACATGCATAATTGAGAAACACAGATTGCTTGCAAGTTTTCTTTGACTGAAAAATGTTCTATGAAAAAAAATCAATTTTCCCAAGTATATGCATACTACTATAACACATTTTGTTTTTCCTTTTTAAATTCTGTTTCTTTGCAATTAACTAAGGGGAGGGTGGCAACCTTTCATTATATCGCCACTGTTTAAAGAAAAGTAGTGCTCTAACTAAATAAAAGAGGAATCAAACATTCATTGTGTCACTATTATTTAAAGGGATATGATACTCTTGATTAAATACAGCAGGGATCAACCTTTTATTGTATCACCAATTTTTAGGAGAAAATAATGCTACCAGTAAATGAAAGGATCAACCTTTTAACTCTTTCAGCACAGGCTCGGTCCCTGGGACCGACCTTATAACCATTTTGTGCTTATTATAGTTTTCATGCTATAACTTTTAAATTACTAAGCATATGTTAACAAATTCGGCCAATTATCAGTAAACATTACAATGATTTCATACACATAATACAAGATTTTTTTATTAAGTCTTAAGGTTTGTTTAGCAAATTGTTTTTCTCATATCTTTTTTTCTTTTCGCATGTTGCCTATCCAACATGCAAAGTAATTTTTCATTTTAAGATTAAAAACACTTTTATGCATCAGAAAATTTTAAAATTTCACCCGAGAAATATTTATAATGTCCAGATAATTAACAAACATTTCTTAAGATAAAAACTTTATATTTTATCCGTTATTTTCACTAAGGAATCTCTGTACGGATTCAGTAGATCTGACTGATCTTGTAATCACCATAAAGAATTAGGAAATAAATATAAATTATGCCTCTTTCATTCAAGAAT